CCTTTCTCTTCCTTGCCCCCCCCCATCCATACAATCAGACAAACCCCATTCGAATCAGATTTATTAGTGCTATGAAGACCACCCTATGCCGGCCGTAGTGACTGCTGGCAGGCACCAACCGCGAAGTGATCCAAGAATCATATCCAATGGCTGAACTCAAGTGAAGGTTGAGCTTTAGTTCGGTTGAGTTTCTCATGTTCAGCTGAAGTTGAATCTCCGCCAAAATTTATTTTACCTCATCCAAATTCCCGAAGTTGGGACTAGCCAAAGTTGAACGTCACATGGGGTTGAATAAAGATAATATGAAACTTGTCAGTAGTTGGTTGAAGGTGATTCGAATACCACCTGCAAATTTTGGTTAAAAAAAGCGACATCTGCAGGATTCGAACCTGCGCACGGAAACCGTAACAGATATCCTAGACTCAAGTTCTAGTCTGTCGCCTTAACCGCTCGGCCAAGATGTCATGGGGAAGGCAATATAAGTAACACTTATAAGTATATACTTAGCTGTTGGCGTTGCATCAGGATAGGTCCATGCTGCAGGTTGCCAATGCTAACCTGGCTCCCGGGGTCGTCGTAATGACGAGGCAAGAAAGGTACGACAGCGAGGGGGTGCTCAGCGAAATCTCGTGGATCTCGGCGCTGGGTCCCCAAATAAGGGAGGATTTTGACTGGCCGAACTCCCGGTTCCGGCTCGGTTGGGACCGGCGGCAGATGTGGAATCGCTACTACAGGTTCATGTTCTTGGCTCACGGCGGCGAGACTAAGGTCTACTCTGGCCTGTTTTGGGGCTCCATCTGGGAGCATTTCGATGTTGCCTGAGTTTTTTTTTCCATCGAGTCAGAACGAATGGCTCCAGGGTTGACTAACTCTGGCACCGCTTCAAAGGCGCTCGTCTCTTTCGATGGCATCTTCTCCCCTTCCATTTTTTGGCATGATAAACCGCAATATATTCATCTCCGTCTTATACATTGTGAGAGGGGAGGAGCAGAGTTGTAGGGACGAGCGCATATCACAGCGTCTGGATCACGTCCCAAAATGATTTAGTTTCGGATCCGCTGACCCCCTTTGAATCCTCTTTTGTCAGCATCCCTCGGAAGGCTGGGGAAGACCGAATCGCGAGAGCGACATACTTCCGGGGAGTTAGTTGGAGTGGAGGGAGTTTCTAGTGGCTCTGGGTGGAATCACCTGACAGTTGTTTGTATAAGTTCCCCCCCACACACAAGATAATTGCTAGCGCAGCACGTTTTACAGCCCGCAGAAAAAGTAAAAGAGTCCGACGAAGACCGGCCTGACACCTCATCGGGGTGAAGAAGAAGACGACGACGACGAAGACGACGACGAAGAAGAAGTCGAGTTCCACGAT